CAGGCCCGGAAGACGACCCAATTAGTCGTCTGCCGAGGCCCTAAGTCTCTGATTTGGTGAATAGCCGTCTTTAATTACCAATTTGGACAATGTGGCTGGCATGTATTTAGAAAAGGTGGTCCCATAAGAAGTGAAATATACCTGTTTCTCCTAGCAAGTGCTTTTTCTCACTTACACATTTTGCATTTCACATATTTTGTGACTGATCACTAGAAGGATGAGAATCGAACGCCTTGAACTGGAACTGAACACTTTGGTGAACTGCATCTTCTACAGCTTGTAATGAAATAAAGCATGTGTTACTTCACCCACCTCCAGAAGTTAGCATTATGATGGTCACTGTCAATAATAAAGCATGTGTTACTTCACCCACCTCCAGAAGTTAGCATTATGATGGTCACTGTCAATAACATATGCCTAATTACAGTTGTTAGTCTCAACTAGGGGAGATCCATTGAAACAGAGAGAACTTGGTAAAGCACCACAATTGTTGTTGTTATTCAATAGGTTTACTCTAATTAGAACTAATAATTAGACTTCGCCAATAGGTCTGTGCTTTCCATATTAAGTTTCCCTCATTGTTTACTTCCTCTTCCCTGCTTACTTCCTGAAGAATTTAACACTAATCCACAGAAGTTTATGCCTTGATAAGCTTGCTATCCTATTGGAACCTACTCTAGTTCTAACTAGAGTAGGCCCATTATTCAATTGTTGAATGGAGAGTCAACACATAGATAAATCTAATGGATTCAATAGGACTACTCTAATCAGAATAAAGATTTAGGGGTAAATATGGTAGTCTTTAAGGTATCAGCACTGTCTGTTTTTTCTGCAACAAACTAGCATGGCTATTCCTTTGGAAATACTTTTTCAAAGGTAACACTAGAGTGGGGCGTGGGATTTGCTAGGAGGTTCCCTCACCATGACATGACATGCTGTAACTCATTGTTAGCCTGCAGCCCACAAAATGGGAATAATAATTCCAATCCACCTTGCAGGTTTATTGGAAGGAATGCAGAGAGGAATCAAAGTGAAGTGCTTGAAATACCCTAAAGCACTATAAAAATCAGGAAAGGAAACTGGAGAGCACAAGGGCCAATTTTAACACACACACACACACACACACACACACACACACACACACAGTCTCTGCATGCCTAAAAATAGCTGCCATATGGTCAAAAGTTATTAGTGAGTTCTTTTTTGGACCGTGTGCTGTGAATTTGCAGGATTGTTTTTTTTAAGAGTTGTAAGGTTCTTTATGTTATGGCACTCCTGAATCCCCCCAAGATCTGTTTTTGGCCATGGGGACAATTTGCACCCCCTCCTCAGATTTTTTTTATGGGGGTTCAGGAATTTGGAGGCTCTGGCAGCCACAAAAATGCCTCTGGACAGCTTGCAGATTCCCCACCCCAATTCTGCTATGAGTCACTTGAGAAATCTAGTTTTATAGAAGCTGGAGTACATTTCAGTAATTCAGTCACTGCTGACATAATTTAATTAGGCCACAGAGGCCAGATGTGAAAATCCTGGGTTCAAATATAGCATCTGTCTATGGGTTTATTTGTGCAGATGGTTTTCAGAAATTCCTAGAAGTTTAAAAATAAATACAGTATGTCATGCCACACAAACGTTTTTCGGTAAGTTCCAAGATGTTTCGTAGGGGAAATGATTTGTCATGTTTTATCTGCTGTAGCTCAGCCATGGGGAAGGGAGGGTGGAGAAATAAAGCACCCTCCTAAAAGAATCAACCTTATACTAAGTATAAATGTAAAGTGTCTATGCCTCTGCTGCATGTGACATATTCAAAAGCCACTAGACAAAAAATAGCATGCTTCTATTAAGATATTAACTGTTTTTAAAGTACTTCTGATGTTATGATCTTTAAAAAAAAAGGCATGAATTTGTCATCAGTGATAAATTGGTCACACAGAATAAACATTACCTCATTGGTGAAATTATGGCTAGAATCCTGTTGGTTAATCAGTTATTGAATGGTGAGTCAACACATAAGTAAACCTAATAAATTCAAAGGCTCTGCTTTAGTCAGGTGTGACAATTGGATTTAGACCTGTGTTTGTACAGTATGTCAGGGTGTAGAAAAGTTCCTTTCCTGGACCACAACTCTCAGAACTGTCCAGGTAGCCAAGGACAATGCCTGGGCAATTTGGGAGATGCAGTCCAAACAGTAATTTTTCAACCTCTGGCAGGGGTTTGAAAGCAGAGGCAAGTTGATAATAAGTTTGTAGGGGGGAAAGTTTTTTGTTGTTGTTGTTGTGTACCTTAAAGTTGTTTCCAGTTTATAGTGACCCTAAGGCAAGCCTATCATGTTTTTTTCTTGGCAAGATTTGTTCAGAGGAGGTTTGTCATTGATTTCCTCTAAGGCTGAGAGAGTGTGACTTGCCCAAGGTCACCCAGTGGGTTTCATGGCTAAGCTGGGATTCGAACCCTGGTCTCCAGAGTTGTAGTCGAACAGTCAAATCACTACTCCACACTGGCTCTATCAATATCTTTAAATAATCTAGAAAAGTCCCTACTTCCTGCCATACCCCCAGTGCACTATATGCTTCAAAAAGAAAATGCCATTTTGTTTATTTGCTCTAGGATCAGAATTTCTGACCTGAACCTTTCCTAAAGAGCTTTCAAATGCCTTACTGTAAGAACTACCTAGTAAACTGAGGAGTCAAACTTGAGAAGGAAGGGATTTGACCAAATGAGGCAACCCACTATTTCTCATGGCTGTTTAAAGTAAGGTTTGTGTGGCTCCTTGCGGCTGTATTTCATTCACTCATTCATTTGATTTCTATCTCATTTGGGACTTAGAGCTGCTAACAAAATAGGCTAAAACAAAACAGACAAAACAATAGGTAGTACAAAAGTTTTAAAAGCCTTAAACCCTCAAAATTTGATATTGTCTTCAGGAACCACAACAAGGAGGGGTACCGGTTGTCCACCCCATTGTTATGAATGTTCCTAAGAAAGAACCTGCAGCTGTATATAATACCTCTTGTGAAATGACCATACTCACACATACACACACGCACATCCTTGTAAATGTGTATGTTTGCACAGATAGATAGATACAGAGAGAGAGAGAGAGAGAGAGACCTTGGTATCCTTTGGGGTCTGCTTCCAGGACTCTTATGAACACCAAAATCCATAAATGCTCAAGTCCCATTAAATACAGTGGCAATGTAATATGGTGTCCCCTATATAAAATGACAAAATCATGGTTTGCCTTTTAGAATTTATATATTTTTGAATAGTTTCAAGCTGTGGATGGTTGAATCCTTGGATACGGAAGGTCGACTGTATTACCAATAAAGTCAGTTATTAAAGTTTTGGAAGACAATAAGGTTATTTTAAGTCATGGCTTTAATTTTAACTTTTGAGTCCCTTTTCCTAAAATTCTGGAATTTAAAGAGCTAAAATAATTAGACAGTATTTGCAGTGGTTGGGTTTTCTGTTTCCTTTATTCTTCTGAGATCACTGGTTGTAGAATAACTCCATTGTAATGAGCAAATAATGGTTTTGGCCTAAACATTGGTATTTTGTCATGTAAAAGTCATTTGAGATGAGTCAATATCATAAAACTTAGTCCAGATGGTGTTCACATGCCTTTTTTTTTAAAGGCAATAAATATAAGAGTTTCCACATTCTTGCATGCCCAGTTTTGCAACGTAGCTTATTCATCATGGGTCTTTCACGTGTAGGCTGGCAGTAGGTACTGTTTTAAGTGAGACAGCACCATTTTTTAAACATTTTCTGGCCGTCCCGTTGTTTTAGCATAAATGACCATTTTGCCCCATTTTTAATAAACTGCAGCTCTATTATTAACATTTTTTATGTTATCGGTGTTGTATGCCTTCAAGTCACTTCCAGGCTATGATGATCCTATATCAAAACAATCACAGGATTTTCTTGACAAGATTTATTCCAGGGGTCGGCAACCTACGGGCCGTGGGCCGGGTGCGGGCCATGGAGGCCTTGGGATTGGCCTGTGGCTGGTCCCGCCGGCAATGGTGCCCCGCGCACGCCAGCGCGGGCTCCATTTTGGCTTCCAAAATGGCGTTCATGCGCACAGCAGGGGGGCGCCATTTTGAAAGGCCCCACAGCGGCTGCATAGCCGCCGTTGGGCCTTGGGAAGGCCACACCGCGGCTGCGCCGGGCAAATTCGCCCGGCGCAGGCACGGGGGAACCTTTCCAAGGCCCATGGAAACCCCCCTCATGGCTGTGCCGGGCGAATTCGCCTGCTGCGGGCACGGGGGGGGCATTTCCAAGGCCCAGGGAGGCCCCCCCCACGCACAGCACCGTTGGGCCTTCCAAAATGGCGGCGGCGGCGCGTGCATTCCCCCCCCCCCCCCCCCGGGCAACAAAGGTTGCCGGCCCCTGATTTATTCAGAAAAGGTTTGCCTTTGCCTTCCTCTAAAGCTGAGTGGGATTTGCCAAGCCCACCCAGTGGATTTCCATGATGAGCAGGGATTCAAGCTCTTGTCTCCTAGAGTCCTAGTCCAACACTCAGAGCACTAGACTACACTGGTTCCCTCTTTATTGACTTCTGCAAATATTGCTTTGGTGTTCAGGATGAATTGTGTTTTTAGGAACCTGCTGGTCACTGCATTGTTACATTTGATGTAATGTGTTTTAAAAACAAAGTGAGACACAGAGATTTGGGGGGGAATCAGGATTGGGACCATAATGGGCCTGGAGTAAGTTTAATTCTCTTCACCCCTGGTTCATTCTTGATGAAAATCTCCCTCCAAATGCAGTTTTGGGAGATTTTTTTGGAAATCAGAACAAAGAGGGAAAGGCCACTTGCTGTAGTCCCAGTTCAGTTTAGATTCCTCCACAGAAGTTTTGGGTATTTTTTAAGTGATAGCAGCAACATCTTTAGCGTATCATACATTTTTGTCCTTTAGAGGGAGACAAATGTGAGTGTTGATTTAAATTATGTATCGTTTCAAAGAAGAATGTGAATTTGCATCTGTCTAAAGAACTTCTGCCTGATCTGGTATGTTAAATAGTGACTTGAAATATCTAGGATGTAATAGTATTATTGTATGTGTATTTACTTGGATGTAAGCCACACTGAATACAGTGTGATTTACTCCCAGGTCAGTGTGTATAATATTGCAGCTTATGTGTTCCTGTTACTTCAAAAAATCTGTTATAGATTTTGAACCATCATCCTGAAGTTGAATGACGTCTTGTCATTTTGAATGACGTCTTGTTGTACTTACAGGTTTCAGTGGATAAGGTGCTAAAGACATTGAAAGAAAATGCAAATAAAGCAACCAGTTTACTCCTGACTTCTATACCTCAAATTGGGTCCATGGAATGGGGAGAAACCCTACAGAATTTGAAAGTAATATCATTATTCTCTTTTATTCACTATATTTGTGCCCTAGGTCTTTTTCAAGAATGCTATAAACTTTGTGTATGTGAAGAAGATCAAGATTTAATCCAGTTGCTAGTCCCAACTAAAGGAGACTCATAGAAGCCGTTGCTGAATGGTATCTCATCCTTTGTGTAAATCCCATTCACTGGGTCTGCTCTAATTGGACTCCTAACTGGATTTTGGTTGTAAGTAAGAAGACCTGCAACAATAAAACTGAAACCTAAGTAATACACAATTAAAACAGAAATATGTGGCCAAAACCTGAAGTCAAAAGCAGCAAAATGTCAGTGCAGTAATGATAAAAGATAATGCTGACTTTAGATAATAAAAGATTATGCTGTCTGTAAATCTCTGGAAAAATTGAATTGTTTTTACTTGATTCCAGAAGCTCGTGAGTAGATACCAAAGTACAGATCATGGAAGGATATTTCACCAACTGGGTATCCTTTAGTTTGGTAAATTCTGGAGCTGGGGATTCTATTTTATGTTTAATTGCCTAGATTTGTAATCGGAACTATGTTGATTTTCTTGTTTAGATCTGTTCACAACTGCTCATACCCAACTCCTTGCATCATCCTTGATTTGTCATCACAGATAGACTTTCATTACTCTGTTTCTCCACAGCTATCCTATTTTGCAGTCTGGAATACCTGCTTTTCTCATTTCCTTTTTGCTTCATTCCACCTGTACTTTCAGTCACCTTCTGTTTACATGCATATCTTTAACCTGCCATTATTTCCTTCCTCAGCTGAATAGTGATTTCCCTTATTAGTTACTGTCCAAGTTGTAGAATGAACTTGTGACTGTGTTCATCTCTGAATGGCTGGATGTGCATTTATTTGGATAGACACATACAAGGGAATGTGTTTTGAGCTAGTATAGGTGTTAACTAGCAAGACAGGAAAATGAGAACATTCAAGAAGACCTGGCCACATAAAAAGAGGATGGAGTTCCTATACCTGAAAGGAGAAAGGAGGAAACACAGCTGATGTAGCTCATTATATAAGCTGTACCTGCTGAAATTCATATAGTTAAGCTGCAAAGTGATTTGTGCTGTTTTCCACATCCTGATTCTGAATGGGAGGAAATTCTGCAGATTGGATATAGCACTATGATCTTCAAGTGGATCTCTTTCATTCTCTAATTTGTTTCATTGTTTTGACTAGTAAGTCATGGCAAATATAATAACACAGTATGTATAAAACAAGGTCTGGTTGGAACCTATGGTCCAAATGAGAAGTGAGTTAATTTTTAAAGCAAATTCCCTAGTACATTTTCTCTCAGTCCAGAGATTATTAATAAATGCCCATCTTATGGAACTGTGTATTACTTTTCACCTGGGGTAGGCAATCTGCAGCCTTCCAGATGTTGATAGACCATAGTCTCTATCACTCCTAGCCAGGATAGTCAGTAGTAGCAGATGGTAGGAATTGCAGTCCAGCATCGTTTCTTGTTTGTATTTTAACAAATAATTAGCTACTGTACAGTTATTTACAGTCATCATTTACTTGAGCTTGGAGGAGATGTTAAAGGAAATTAGCTGGACATCATTTACAATAGTTTGTAAAGCATGTTGTATCTTGTAACTGTCAAAAGTCTTAAAATATTTTGCTTATCAATTCAGCTTGTTTTCTGTGTACTGACTTCTGTATTTCAGAGTGCTGTACAGTTGTCTGTTATACTTCCAAAACATTGAAACCATCACAGGAAGACCAGCAAGAAGATGGATATTTCATGAACATGATAACACCCTGAAAGAATATAGTTAAAACATGTGATGTTTTTCATTCTTGTTTGCTGCTATACCTTTTGTTTTGGCATAAAAATCTTATAGAGGCTCGGGAAAGGACAGTTCCCACTAGGCTGGGCCTGAATTGGTTATAGATGTAACATTCCACAGGGTATGGATTTTAATTGCAGATACGTAATCATGTTTTATTGAAAGGAGAGAAAAGTAAGATCTCAAGGGCTGTTTTGGGGGTTTAGGTATAAACTTACCATTCATCCTAAAGATTTCTAAGCAAATGTAAGACTATTGTAGGTGGTCTTAACTTCTACAAATGGAAAGAGCCCTAAATAGCTCAAATCCAAATATTAATAG